AAAATACAATAGAGTCTTATAATCATCCCACGAGATCCCCTCGTCGATGAACTAGCTACCAATTGTGTTTTGGTTATTCACCATCTGTCTGATAGCCTAGTCTCGCTCCGCTGACAAATGCTCCTCATCTAGGGACCGACGGTCGACAATCATACTAAATCAATCGATCTTCAAAATTTTGTCGATCGAATCAATCCCATTGACCCAAAGTTTATCAAGTTTAGCCGACCAGCAACGTCGACTCAACCTAGTCGGCCATATCGACCTTACTGAGTCGAGGCCAAAAAAGCTTAAACGACTGAGTCAAAGAGAAGCTGATCAATATACTCATATATATATAATATCTAGATATTCCTAACAATTCTCATTAAAACAGTGACATAAATATAATATCATCATATTGTATTACCTCCCCAATAATTAAGGAGATCATTTTAAGAATAACACGATAGAAATAATATATGTTCATTATTGTTCACTCATCTTTCTATCTATCTTCCCATCTCTTCTTTCTTGTATTCTATTTCTTGGATGTGTTTCACGACAAAACATAATTCAACAGTATCTTAAAATCAATCATATTTATCATTCAGTCTTTGACACAAATAAAGTCTTTTCTCATTATCAAGAAAACAAACTATCAAACATTATTGAAAGCACTATTTCGTTTAAAGTCTCTTCTCAAAGTTAATTATCACACATTATCAATATTAATTTTTAGCGGCAATTACATACAGATCATCCAAAACTTTTTATTTACAAACCAACCGCCTTTCCCCATCCATATTTCAAATCCTCACTCAAATATCAAAATTCATGGTAAAACCCCATCCCATATTTTTCACTTTTATCAAATTCTCAATAATTTGATCGTGGCACGCAAAAATACATCGATTCAGCAGTTCATAAAAAATGTCCCAGGTGATTGATTTGTAAATATCAATGTTTTGGGTGGTATTAATGTAATTATCCCTAATTTTTATTTACATAAAACATTTAAATGTTTATTGCTCCAGAGCTCTGATTATCTCTCCTTTACATGCAAACACATATTTCTATATTAACTCAAGCAGATTATTCTTACAAGTTTTTATTAGGCTGCTTGCTCGATTGCATAATGGAATCTGGCTCAAATTATTAAATTATAGCACATATGAACAGATAGTTTAATTAATTATAGCACATATAAACTGAATATGATCGTCTTTTATCGCCTATTATATATTTATGACATTTATCTTTACATACCCTCATTTAGGAGCTACATGTAATTGAAAATCTAAGGATCGGAGTGGTGTGACGAGAAAGGAGGGGTAGAGAGATCGCATTGGCTTGTCCCATCGGGGCAAAACATGGGGTATGTACGAGCTCCCTCACCCTTTTATTTATCAAAAAGAGTTTACAGATATGGGAAAGAGAGAGGGTCCCCCTGAGGTGTGAGTCTATTTTTGAGAGCCGAAAAAGGTCCCTTATAAGCGTTGGACCGTCTATTTATAAAAAATGCAGGGTCACTGGGATAGAAATTATCCTGGGTGTTTTGATATTTGGTGAACGCTTTTGGAGTCCTTTGTGGTTTTTCGAGAGATCGCACTGCATGCTTGTTGGCTTTCTTGCTAACTTAATTTTCATGCAAGTTGAGCCCTTTTTTTTTTTTTTTAATTTCTATGTACTTTTTAGGGTATTAGAAGAATCTTGTAGCAGAAATAAGATACATGCATGAATTCCAAGAGATTTTGGCGCGGGAATCACATAACGGAGGACCATGGCAAACAATTGGTGTACCGTAGCTTAATCCTGCACTAATTATAATGTACAGGTTTATGACGGGGCATGTATATGCGGAGCCTGATTGCTCCTTTTTTTTTTTGGGAAATGTTGTCAACCTAGCGACACCGACTTGTTATTATTTTACTTTGTTTGTTTTATTGTTTTTCCTACATGTTTGCATCTCTGCATATTTGGATTGTTTTCATTGTTTCTTTATGTGGTGTGTTTGAGAATCACGAATGCAAGATAAGCTCTTTAGAATTTAAAATTCTAAATTTGCTATAATATACTAATATAATATTCAAGATAATAAAAATTTTACGATTAAAACATTCAAGACTTTAAAATTCACATTTTTTACTTTTCTGCATAACCTTTAGACCAGATTTTAAATGGGTTTCATGCGTGACCATCACTCTCATCATGATTAATAGGGCATCTACACTTAAGACTGTGATAGACAAATGCATCATATTTGTATATCCCGAGGGGAAGCCCACGAGCTTCTTCAACTTGATTGGCCCAATATAGATTTCTACTTAGGTGGTTGTCTAATATGTTTAGGGTATTAGAAGGCTCTAGATATTAAGGGGTGTAAGTTCTTTTTTGAAGAGTGTATGCAGTTTTGTAGCTGGATCTCTTCTTTCCTTTCTTTCTTGAGGTAATTTTGTCATCTGTCTGGCAAGTGTGAGTCCCACCACTTGAGCTCCACCTTGTAAGTCACATAATTAGATTTTCATTCTTTTGACCATAGGGATATTGAGGTTCTCTGTGAACGACTACATTAACAGATTGTTGACCTTGGATCTTTGGACTTGTCGCCTTCACATATTGGTAGAATTAGGGTCCCAACAACTTAGAATGACGGGTCTATGGTATCTCTATCCAGCAACAACAACTTTTGAGGAACACTTTACCCTTATTGTTGCTGAGCTCCATCGCTCATTTGACTGTCAATATCATCTTAACGACCCAATTATCGATGAGCTGTTGCTCGTTCGATATACGGTGATTCTCCTCTACCCTTATGGTCGGGTGAGCTCTGACGTATAGGGGTATCTCCGTCGATATGATTTTGGTTATTTCTTCGTCTCCATATGCCGACGAACCGCTTTCTATTTGGGATGTGAGAGACTCACTTTCTGTCTGGTGGTTTAGCGAGAGTTTTGAATCATCGAAGTGTTTCTATACGAAATAATCATCATTTGATGGCTGATTCTTCAAGTTCATGAAAAAACAAACGAATTTTTTTTATTGAGAGTATTCTTAGATATTCCCCAAGATGTAATTAACCATATGGATACGTTCCTCTGGAAGACTCTTGACCCCATAACAACAAAATGTTCTTTTTTACTCTGTGGTTACATGTGACTTATATAAGGCTTCTTTTGGTGGATGTTGTGTTTCAAAGTACTTTGATCTGATCTTATTTGGTCGTATACTCTCGACCCATTACAGGAGGATTATCCATATATAATCCTTCCGTTTGTTTCTTTTTATTTTTCGGGATACTTTTATATTCATTTTATATTTCTTTTAAAAAATGTGATGCAAGAGTTTGAGTGGCATAAATGTAAAAAGTATTGATTAGGTGTTCGATATGTAAATGCATGAGAATTGGCTTGATGTAAGTAAATGATCGGGAAAAAAAAAAAAAAAGAAAAAAAAGAAACCAATAAAAGTGTTTTATAAGTACAAAGGTAATCCATCACATGCTCGCATTGAGCAATTCGAGCCGAACACGAACATAAAAAATAATTCTAGCAGATGTAAATGATCGGAAAAAAAAAAAAAAAAAAAGAAACCAATAAAAGTGTTTTATAAATACAAAGGTAATCCCTTGTATGAACTTTATAATCACATGCCCGCATTGAGCAATTCGAGCCGAACATAAACATAAAAAATAATTCTAGGAGAACACGAATAGAGATTGTTCATGAACTATTTGTAACACGAACTAAATTCAAACAAAAGAAAAATATTAGTAAAAATGGACTATATTTTAATAACATAAAACTCATTAAAAGGTAAGATATTAAATAAATAACATCTAAAGAGTCCGGTGAGTCATGTTATTGAGGACTCCTAGAGTCAACGGCATAAATAATTTATCTTGTATGTTAAAATAAAAAAAATAAAAACTAACGGCCAAAGAGATTCATTTCTACTATTTTGAACTAACGAATTAATCCATTAAACAATACAAGTTCAAATTTTATTTCAAGACTAGAGCAGAAGGCCAAGTTTAATTTCCTTACTATTACATTTCAAAATTGCCACTTGGACCAATCAAATTATAGAAAATAAACAAACCCTAAAGCTAAAGCATTCACAAAAAACACGGGTCGGGTCTGCGAGCTGACTTCGCTCTTCAAAACGCCACCTTTCCCTCCGACAAGCTCCTGATCTCCTCCTCCTCTCTTCTCTAGCTGGCAATTTCTCTACCTTTCTCCGCCTTCCCCGCGACTCATCATCAACGGAAGAAGGAGATGACGTCGATCGCGGCGGCGCTCACGAGATCCCGATCTCGCATATCATCTTCCCTCTCTACAGCGGTGAGCTATTCCGCATGCATCTCTTCGTCTCCGTCGAAGAATTCCATCTCCGGATCTCCCCTTTCGTCGGTTCACGGGCGCAGTTTTCATGACTGGCGATCCCCTCTGAGTCACCGCGCTGCCATCCGCTCGTCGGCCGTTGTTGCGGATCGATTCGAACGCCGCTTCGCCACAGCGGGTAAGAGGCGGGATCTCTTCTTTTGGTCCCTTAGGTTTATTTGGATTGAAGGGAAGAGGAGTAAATTTAATGAAATGAAATATTAACAATTTAAGCTTCTCGATTTCTTTTTATTCAAAATTTTCGGTACATTCTATGCGCAATAAGGGATCTGATTTGCTTCTTTTGATTGACAGCTTCACGGAACTCGTATGAGGGCATCTTGACGCCGCTGGCGAATCCCGACGGCGGGGAGTTTGGGAAGTATTATAGCCTGCCGGCGTTAGATGATCCTAGAATTGGTGAGTTGTTTGATGGAATGTTGGTGTTGGTGTGTGATGGTTTATGTTTTTGTTATATTCTTGTTGGGGGATGCAGATCGATTGCCTTTTTCGGTGAGGATTCTGCTGGAATCGGCCATCAGGAATTGCGATGAGTTCCAGGTTACGGGGAAGGATGTGGAAAAGATTATTGATTGGGAGAATTCAGCTCCGAAGCAAGTCGAGATCCCCTTCAAGCCTGCGCGAGTTCTCCTTCAGGTTCTCTCGTGTTTTTTTGACTTCCTTTACTTGTTTGCTATTTTTTTTTAATAACTCAGAATTCCTGGTTTATGTCCTCTTTTTTATCGTCGGTGCATTTTTTTTTCTGTTTACTTTTTTTTTTGTGAATTACTCCTATCTTGGTATTTTGAAGCTTCACCATTTTTTGTTGTTTTTAGCAAAATACTTAATTTCAACTTAAATAAACGTTGTTTAGAGCGTAACAGTATTCAAAGAGATTTTAAAATTAGGAAATTAATTATTCTTTGTCCAGTTTAAGATAAAAAATACATGTCCTTTAAGCCAAAAAAACAAAAAAAAGATTCATGTAAACAGTTATCGGGCATAAATTATGTTTTTGAAACTAGTTCTACATTTGGGTAGGTCTTTCAGGAAGTATTATTATAATTAAGCTTTGACATAACTATTGTTTTGTTTATATCTACACCTCTCCGTGCAGGATTTTACTGGTGTTCCGGCCGTTGTGGATCTTGCATGCATGCGCGATGCTATGAACAATCTTGGCAGTGATTCCAATAAAATCAATCCTTTGGTAAGTTTTTCTTCTTTGACGGAGAGAAATTCCAATTATACATTGCCAAAAGATTCAAGCATAAATATTTGCTTAATGTGCTGTTTTACCTATGAACTACTTAGTTTATACCAGTGATATGCTCTACTCTTTCATCACGTTATTTCTTCATTCATGCTGCTTTCTTAAATTTTACTGGTGTTCCGGCCGTTGTGGATCTTGCATGCATGCGCGATGCTATGAACAATCTTGGCAGTGATTCCAATAAAATCAATCCTTTGGTAAGTTTTTCTTCTTTGACGGAGAGAAATTCCAATTATACATTGCCAAAAGATTCAAGCATAAATATTTGCTTAATGTGCTGTTTTACCTATGAACTACTTAGTTTATACCAGTGATATGCTCTACTCTTTCATCACGTTATTTCTTCATTCATGCTGCTTTCTTAAATTGCTTTGCTGAATTTGCGACTGTACTAAAAGGAACCTTTATTTTTATTGTTTAATATCTATGACATAACTCTGACACTGGAATATTTTTAAGTGGTTGGAAGACCAAAGAACTTGAGAATTGAATTAAGTCTAATATGCTAGTGGATGAACACTCGTAAACCAAAAAGCTTAAGCAAATGGGCAAATGCCACTTCTTGCATATTTTAAGCTCAACTCTTATTCTCACTTTTGTTGTGGAAGAATTTTCACTTATGTTCATATTTTAACAAGATCCCCTCAGATAAGAGTCCTAGTCAACCATCGCTCTTCTTCCATGGAAGTTTTTCAATTTCATTAACTATCAATCACAAAGAGCCTACTCAGCATGTGGAGTTTTAACGAGAGCCACCCACACTTGAAGAACTTTGATTAACGGTGATAGAAGCTGCAAATGCTATGGAGCCTAAATCACTGAGAACACTAGATCCTTGCTGAATCTTGATCTAATACCACCTATTAGGAAGGTGAAATATTAGAAAACCAAAATTGAACCTAATATTTTTATTTATGTATATTGCCATCTATTAAAAGCTTGGTGTCTATCATCTATTATTGTATTAGGACCCCAATTTGGTCCCACAATGTTTCAACCTTCTACATTTTATCTAGTAGTGTATTGTGGCCAATTTTAGCCCTGCCACTTGCTCTATTGTTTTACCCTCCTAATAATTACTATCATATTCAATGATTTGGCTCAAACTAAATGGTCATGCGGCTTATGGCTCCCATAAATGTTGATGACTTATCATAATCAAGAAAGATTTAATAGCGGGTCACCCCTACATAGGATCTATGTGATTGAGTGTAAAAAATTTAATAGTATTAACAAATTTTCATTTGAGAGTGAATAATGATTTATGCTGAGGGATATCTATGGGTGTGGATTATTGAGATGCATATAAGAGTTGAAAATAATCCCATGTTGGAACTAAACACGAGTTAAATTTTTAATAAATTGGTAGTGGTTTTGACCCACAATTATAAGCTTTTGGATTGATGAATTCTATCTACTGGTGTGTTGGAGTCAACTTAGGCCTCCATCATTTTTGTCAACCTAAAATATGATTTTATTGCTTCTAGAAATTCCAAGTACTCTCACAATTGCACTCAAAATTGTGTTACACATAAACATAATATTAAATTCTAAGGTCTATTTGGGGCAGTCGCAACTATTTATAAGTTAAACTACTAAACTATTATCAGATAATCACTGTTGTGAGTGGAGCTTTCTTCTCCCTATCTTATGAGGCGGAGAGTAAATGTTGCCATTCAATTTTGAAAGAGAAACAAGAAGTAACTTATGATTCAACTTACTAAAAGATTTCTAGCGCATGATGTGCGTGCTACTTGGGGAGAGGAGAAGATTATGGCATGAAATAAAATGAAGGATTTGTTGTGGTTTGGCGAGTAACTTCTCCATTTTGGCAACATGAAGGATTTTTCATTATTAATTAAGTAGTTACATATATATTCCTTTAGATCCAAAGGATAAAAGAAAAAGAAGAATCTTGTATGTCAAACATATTTTTCGGGGAGATCTACTTGGGGGCTTTTCAGACACTTCTTCAGAGGATTATCTAAAGATCAATAGTCCCACCTTGAGCATATTGTCTTCCTCAAACTGTTTAGGTTTGTTTGCATCTATACGAACGATCTTTCATGTTTTTGAATTGCCATGTATTTCTATGCACCATAGGCAAGATTTCAAAGAAATGTCTTTTTATTTTCACCAAAAACCAATTTCTTAATTTAAGTTGACAAGGCAACCGTCTAAAAAAATAATTAATGTGCGCATTCCTTAATCTGATAATATTAATGTAAAGTTGATTTTGCAAAAGGGAAAGAACATCAATCATTCGGGGTGCTTATCTTCTCGATTAATTTTAGTGTTTGAGACATGGTCTTTGTTCCATGCATAAAGAAGTTGTGGAAATATAATGCAAACAAATAGCTAGGGCCAAAAGTGAAAAGTAAGATCCATCTTGTTTCTTGTACATTGCTTTCTTTATGCATTGTGGCTTCCATTTGTGGAAAATATGTAAAACAAACCATCAATTAGGCAGAATATTAAGTAATTGATTTTTTTTAGCAAAGTCTAATCATATAATCTCTTTATGCTATTGAAGGGCAACTGGTTCTTGTGAAATTTCCTATAGAAGTATCATCATTGGAAGCATTTTATTTGATTTTATGGTTACACAGCAAATTGTTATACAAAATACTAATGACTACTATTATAACTAATGGAATTATTATAACGAATGGATTTAACTTGATCTATATTTATTTATATAAAGCAGTTCTTGTAAGCAAACTCTTTTTAGAGCTGTTCTACTGCATTTATTAAACGGCTAGGGGGCTGAGTAGGTTTTACTGAATCAAATTGCTTAGAAAGTCACTTTCTGTGGTAGCTGACTCTAGCAGAACTTTGACTCATGCCGAAATCTTCACTGAATAAATAAGTTGGTTGTTCATTTTTAATCTTCAATAAGTGGATTTCTGTCGGAACTTGTGTACAGAAATTGAAAGGGAGTGTTATGTCATACCATTTGCTGCTACTTCATATTGTTTGTTTTTCCATATTTAGGCGTTTCTCTGATTGAAATTACATAATAAAAGCTTAAAATCCCATAATTGCACTTTTTCTTTTAAGTTTATTTCCATTTTTATCCAACAAGCACTATTATTTTGCAGGTCCCGGTGGATCTTGTTATTGATCACTCTGTCCAGGTTGATGTTGCAAGGTCTGAAAATGCTGTCCAGGAAAACATGACACTTGAATTCCAACGCAATAAGGAAAGATTTGCATTTTTGAAATGGGGATCAAATGCATTCCATAATATGCTTGTAGTTCCACCTGGTTCTGGTATAGTCCACCAGGTAACTAGGTTCATGAGAATTTTAACCTACTTTTTTCACCCTCATTGTTTTTTCTTCATTTATGATGTCGGAATTCAAAGAATTAATTTTGATAGATCAGAGTTTGGTGTTTTTTATTTTTCTAATGTATTTGGCATATTTTTTTCCAGGTGAATCTTGAATACCTTGCTCGAGTTGTTTTCAACAATGGAGGGATTCTTTATCCAGACAGTGTGGTCGGCACTGATTCACACACAACTATGATAGATGGGTTAGGTGTTGCTGGCTGGGGAGTTGGTGGGATAGAAGCAGAAGCAGCTATGCTTGGTCAGGTATCAAAATTATGTTTTGGTTCTGCCACCACATTGTTTAGAGTTTCTTTTGTGATCCTTGATGCATCTTATCCCTTTATGTTGTCAAAATTATATTGTTGAAAGAGTGCCCCGTTGCTCTTTCATTTGGTCTTCTTAGATGTTATTGTTTTTTCAATGCTTTTGCTCCTTCCAATGTTATATTGTTGAAATACATGTTAAGGGTAAAAGGTTGCTTTTGAACCAAGAGCGTATAGATTGTGGAAAGTATTCACTTTTTCTAGTATTTGGTTTGGGCACAATTCTTCAGCACAATGTTTGTTTTATAAATAGCACAGTTACTTTTCATGTTGTCAGATTGACTTATGTAATTTTTTTTTTACATTATTTTTGCTACGTGAATTGGAAATTTGTGTGGATGTCTTCTTGTCCTGGTGATGAGATTCTGAATATGTTCAGAAATCAAATAAACACTGCTCGTCTCCAAAACTCTGTTGCACCTTCTGTTAAATGTATAGAAAATGAGTTTTAATAACATTAATATGATGCATTTTTCTGCAAAAAATAGATATTATTCTCTTGCTTTGCATCTGTTTACTTCCTACGTTGTAGCAAAGTTACATTTGGTGTCCACAAACTATCTCTGTTCCATTGTTCTAGATTCCTTCTTTATGGAAGGCAAAATTCTTGGTTCCCATTCATGCTTGAAACTATGATCACTCTCTTACAAGTTTGATTACATCATGTTCCTTTATCATTTATTTTATCCATGTTATTCCTTTAGTTTTATGGTCGTACTTGTTTTTGTCATCATCACTATTAGCCTTATCCCAACTATTTGAGGCAGTCTTCAGTCCTTCCTATTTGTTTCACACTTTTTTTTCATTCTTTCGTTTATCATAATCATCATAGCTTGTAATAGTACTTTTATATGTTTTTTTTTACTTGATTTTCTCTTTACTATAACTTTCTGTATTATTCCTTCCATGAATAACATATGTTTATTAAGTGCAGCCGATGAGCATGGTTCTTCCTGGAGTTGTGGGATTTAAGTTATCAGGAAAACTGAGGAATGGGGTGACAGCCACTGATTTAGTTCTAACTGTGACTCAAATGCTTCGGAAGCATGGCGTTGTTGGGAAATTTGTAGAATTCTATGGTAAGAGCACAAATTTCCATTTTATATTATCATTTACAAAAGTTGAACCTTAATGCATTACTGTTACTTTAGAGCTGTATATATCCTTGATCATGCGCCTCACTTGCACTGGTTGTAGGGCAAGGAATGCGTGAACTCCCGCTAGCAGATCGGGCTACTATAGCTAACATGTCACCCGAGTATGGAGCTACCATGGGATTCTTTCCGGTCGATCATGTTACCCTGCAATATCTGAAGCAGTCTGGCAGAAGTGATAAAACCGTAGGCTTTTGTCAACGCTGCTGTTGATTAGTTGTTTTGTTTATTGTTTTGATTAAGAATTCTCTTACCAATTTGTAGGTTGCAATGATTGAATCATACTTACGAGCCAATAAAATGTTTGTTGACCACAGTCAGGTAAATTTATACTTGCGTTTCATTTTATTTTTCTAGTTCTCTTGAGTGTTGTTTGTGATTTTACTCTCACCAACCATTTGGCAACTTCAGGCCGAGGTAGAAAGAGTTTATTCATCTTATTTGGAATTGAATCTGGAAGAAGTAGAGCCATGCATATCTGGACCGAAAAGGTAACAATCATAGGATAAACGTGATGCTTTTAAGTTTTATCTGATTTAATGATATCGATGAAGGCCTTGATTTTCTTACCTCGTTGGAGTTTGATCTGCGCTATCTTGGAAAACCATTTCGTGATAGGCCTCATGATCGAGTTCCCTTAAAGGAAATGAAAGCAGATTGGCAGTCTTGCTTGGACAACAAAGTGGGATTTAAGGTGAACTCCTTAGATTCTTCATCAATAGACACGAGTCTTGCTACTTTATATAAAGCTTCACAAAATGTCACTTTGCACTATTAAGAGCTTTTCTGCATCTTTAGAGTAAAACATCAGTTTCTATATTGTTTATTGAATATTCATGTTAGGTAGCTGCTCTGACAGTTTTATGGTTATGTTTTATCAGCTGGAAAAACAAAATGGATCTTGTAGTGTTTGATGAATTTATCTCAATGTCTATTAGTCCAACCGTTATTGCTTTTGGTTATCTGACAAAGGAACATTTTGACTGCATTTGCACTACACACAATCCACAATTTTCTGGCTTATTTTTAGGGCTCTCTTTCATTTTCCCGGGAAACATAATAGGTTTCTATGTACATCTCCAATCTGAGATGAACTGATTCACTCTCATTTCGTAACTTCCCAGAAAACCATATGAAACCTTTTGAGTTTCCTTCCTTGTGGAATCTCCATACATGTTAACCTTGGGAACATTAGTTATTGTGTAGAATTTTAGATCACTAATCATAACCGTTTTAAACCATATCATGCAAGAAATAGCAAATGTATGGACCATTCATATTTTTATTAATTTCCTTTGTGTAGATGGTCTCATAAAAGCCTGTTTTTGCTTTATGATGAGTAAAATACTAAACAATATTCAATAAGAAGAATATAATAGCTTTTATCCTTTTGTTCTAAAAAACATGTTCATATAAAATACTATAGGTCATTTAATACATGTTAAACTGCATGTTACCCGAAAACCCAAATGCCTAGCTTGTATCTTTATGTTCTAAAAAATATATGCAATTAAAATACTATAGGTCATTAAATATATGTTAAACTGTATGTTACCTGAAAACCCTAAGGCCCAATGCCTGCTTTGGGCTTCCATATGGGCAGTGAGGGCAGGCTTGAACAGAGCTTTTAGGCTTGATTGTAGACTCAAGTTGTTTCAATTTGATTTATTGTGCATTGACTAAACAACATTTGTGTAGCAATTTGAATGAAGTACTCTAGTTTCAAGCACATTGTAGTTGTTTGCTTGGCAGTCCACTTTTTTTAATCTTTTTTTTTTTTCATCATAATTTATGCGTGCTCGAAAATTCACGATGATAGAATAATAGATTATTATCTAGCGAAGATTCAACACACACTTAAATGAAAGAAAAATAACTAGTAGAGATACTAGAAGTTTTTACGTGAAAAACCTAGATAGGGAAAAACCATAGACAAGGTCTAACCCAATTGAAGAAAATTCACTATAAACTGGAGTTTACACATAAAATTCCTTATTCACAAACGGGAAAATGTTACACAATCTTTTGATTTCTAACATTGTAAAAAGATTCAACACACAATTAGATGAAAGAAAAAAAACTAGTAGAGATAGTAAAAGTTTTCCGTGGAAAATCCAGAAAGGGAAAACATCACAGGGTCTAGCCCAGTCGAAGAAAATCCGCTATAAACTGAAAGTTATACATAAAATCCCTTGTCCACAGATGGAAAAAAGTTTCACAATCTTTCGATTTCTAATGTTGGTGCGAAGGAGTGGTGGTCGAGGTAGTTGGTGGCGATCAACGACTGCAGGAGTGAAGCTGTATTTTAGCTCTTTCTCCAAGCTTTAAGCTCTCTTCAAACTTCACGCTCCTTGCCCTTTTTCAAGAGAGGGGTAGGGCTCTTTTTATAGAATTTCAGTTGTAATTAATTAAAGAATATGAATCATTCTTATCGGACGGCCTAGAGAGATTCCCTCGATCAGACGACGTTTGATAAACATTTGTGTCTTAATAATGTCAGAATTGAGGGATCTTGGGCTCGTTAGATTTGTCTTATCGATACACTCGATTTGACATCTGTTTACCTTCTAAATACTCTTGGAAAGCTTCCTAAAGAGGTCTAATTGTTTGATTAAGGCTTGATTTGGTTTGGATTGGAGCAATTTTGGTATCATTGGGTCCGTCTCATTGAACTGGTCAATTTGACTGTAAGTTTGTTCAAATTGAAGCTTTAGATAACTTTTGATCGAAGTTTGAATATCTTTTGCTTAAAAGATTTCCCAAGATCCGTGTAATGCTATGAGATTCATGCTGTTTGTTAGAAATTTATTGATGGTGTATCAGTTGTCCTCTTATTTTTGGGCGAGATCAATTTCTTCGCCTGAAAATATTGAAATCTGGAACACTTTTTTATTGTTTTATTTTCATTTAAAAATAATTATATATATTGAAAGAATAGGTCGGGGCGTAAGGTTCCCCAACCCACCCTATTGACCCAACGCCCGTCAGGTTTTGGGACGACCCATGCGTTAAAATATTCGAGTGCCCCATTCTTAAGGCAACAGTCGCCATAAACGAGATTCAAACCTCAGACTAGAGGGGATTTACGTTGTCGAAGCGAATGCTCTACCAACTGACCTGGGAACGCGACGCAAAAATAAATATGTATGTATGTATATATATAGGCATACATAAAATCAAAGGGAAGTTTTATTTTACCGCGTTAACAGGATTTAAACCTCCTCTTACGCAAGAGAAGAATTTTTTTTTTAATTTACTGACCAGCTAATTGAAATTGGAAACGGCGACCAACGTCTTGTTGGCTGCAAGGCGGAGCATCGAGGGTATTTGGACGACAGGCAAGCGGAATTCCGGGGTTGGAAGAGGTAGCATTCAATTATATATGTGTATACATATTTTTAAACCGTTTCTCTTTTTTTGTTTTTATTTATTTTTAATGACAAGGTAATTTTTATTCTAAATGCGGATGATTTTTTTGGCTTATAAATAGGCATAGGAAATGAGGAAGGAGGTGGAGTCCCCATTCCTTCCCAACACAGGTGATCTGGGATTTCTTAGAAGAAAAGAGGAGAGGGAGAAAAATTTGTCCCCATCCTTGTCTAAGAGGTGAACTGAGGTTTAATTCCACCCCCCCTGATCTTCTTTCGTGAAGAAGCATAAGAAAATCGTCTTGAAAGTTATCCCCGACCCTGCCAGCAGGACCTTTGGGATTTCCTTTCACGGTCTTCTCTCATGGAGAAGTAGCAGAATGTCGTCTTGAAAATTATCCCCGACCCTGCCCATTAGAGGATCTCTGGGATTTTCTTTCGCTGTCTTTTCTCGTGAAAAAGCAGGAATAAGCTGTCTTGAAAATTATCCCCCATTCTGCCTAGCAGGATCTCCGTGATTTCCTTTCGCGGTTTTCTCTTGTGGTGAAGCAGGAGGAAGCCGTTCTGAAAGTTATCCCCAACTATATCTAGCAGGACCTCTGGGATTTTCTTTCGTGAGCTTCTCTCGTGGAGAAACAGGAGTAAGCCGTCCTGAAAGTTATTTCCTACCCAGCCTATAGGACCTTCAAAATTTCTTTCGCGGTCTTCTCTTGTGGAGAAAAGTAGGAGAAAGCCGTCCTGAAAGTTCTCCAACCCTGCCCAGCAGGGCCTTCGGGATTTCTTTTCGCGGTCTTCTCTTTTGAAGAAGCAGGAGAAAATCATTTTGAAAATTATCCTTAACTCTGACCAGCAGGTCCTTCGAAGGATAACTTTCAGGAAATTTCTTTTGAGGTTCAAACTTTTTTACACAAAAAATCATTCGTGAGAAAATAAAAAATTTCATTGAGTTCGTTAATGTATTTGTGTCTTCTGAGAATTGTAGTCTTCTAAGGTCTTTGATGTATCAGTGTCTTTTGAGATTTGTATCTTTCTGTGATCTTTGATGTTTTGTGTCTGAGGTCATTGATATACTTGTGCCTTTGAGATTTGTAATTTTTTGAGGTCTTGGAGTGGAGACATTGTCAACCACTTGTTCTCTTGGAGTGTTTCTAGTGAGGATTCTGTCTATTACTAGCTTTCTATTAAGACTTGTCTCTTGGGCTCACTTCTAGGGTCATTGTAACTTCCCATCGAGTCTTGCCTACTAGGCTCGATTTTTAGGGGTATCGTATCTTCTTATCAAGTCTTGCCTCTTGGGCTCGACTTCTAATGTCATGATAGAGTCTCATCGGGTCTCGCTTCTTGGGGCTCGAATTCCAAGAGTACCGTATCTTCCCATCAAGTTTTACCTCTTAGACTTGACTTCCACGGGCATCGTATGTTCCCATCGAATCATGGCTTATGGGCTCGACATCTAGGGGTATCGTATCTTCCCACCGAGTCTTGTTTCTTGGGCTCGACTTCCAGGGGTATTGATGGATATCTTGTTTATAGCTTGCCCATAAGGCGATTTTCTACACAAAAAAAACTTTCGTGATAAAATAATAAAATTTCACTAAACATCAGTTTAACGCAACATGAAAATTTTGCTAGTGTAAATTTAAGAGTTTATATGCCAATCATTTACTCAAATATGATAATTTAGAGTTGTGTTTCTCATTCAATAATCCCAACATTTTTTTTTGTTCCCCTCACCTCGTCTTATAAGTGGCGGCCCGAGTGACCTTAATGTATCAGACGTTCAATTTCTTACTTTAATTGAAAATATCTTTCTATTAAGTGTACTTTCACTTGGTGGAAATGATAATATTGTGACTGATGTCACCATTTAGTTTTTTTAATGGCCTTGGCTACTCAAGAACTTTTTCATCTTTGATGGTCATTAGGATGTTGACATGTGACGTGCTGAGTGGCGTGTATTCTGTTTTTGATCGAGACTCACAATTCCCTTGTGGTTTAAACTTTTTTTTTGTTGTGACATTTGACCGACATTCCCGACGTTATTCTTGTGCTTGCCCCTCAATTACTTGAATTGTCCCTTGTGTGCACTAATGACCTCATATGCAGAGATTTGAGCCTTGACAAGGTGGAGAAGTTCGGTATAAAAACGCACTATCTACAGCTTCAGTGATGAATAAAAATGTCATGTGTGGAGTCCTCTAATAAAGACTACTCTCAATTGTTCCGGATTCACTTCTGGAATTTGGTTGGCTTTAGGGAAGAATCTACAGAATATTCCTTGAGGGATTCTCCCCGTTCTGGCGAACTCCCGATAAGTGAGATAAATCTTTGATAATCCTTCTATTTGTTATGACCTGCTTTACAAATAGTCTGATAAGCTCATTAAATGAGTTGATGGTGCCTTTCAAGAGGGAGTAAAACCATGTGCGAGCTTGACCCTTTAGAGTCGTAGAGAACACTTGACAGATAAGTGCATCTGAGACACGGTGAATGTGCATGATAGTTTGATAGTGGTTAGCGTGCTCGTATGGGTCAATTACCCCTTCGCAGGCATATCGATGTTCAGAAGTTTGAAGCTTGTTGGGGCAGGGTGTCGAAGAATTGCCTCCTCCAAAGGAGGATTCTTGGAAGTTGCGGCGCGCGGTGAAGTGATCCCTTTTATTTAGAGGAAACTCTTTCTGAATCAAGCGTAGCTCATCACAGATGACATTAGCAGGAGCGATAGCAAGGCGGGGTAGTGCCAAATGAGCTGCACGAGACGGATGAGTGAAACTTTTATTCTCAAGAAGATTGACGTCCCCTCTCGGCGAGAAAATTGTTTCATCATTCGGAGAGAACCCTGTGAGTAGGGTTTTTACTGTTGGATATTGAACTAATGGTAAGTAAGCTCAATCAGGGTGCATGGGCATCGACTACGGTAAGTGTTGGAGGATCTCGTATTGGGTCTCCATTCTGCGTACTCGGTCTTCTAGAGAAAGACCTGAGGCACATTCACTGGCGAGGTAACACCTTACGAAGTGAGAGGATATGGAGCCCTAACGCCCTTGGCTCCGTGACTGTCTTCTGGAGTGATGGGTATTGGAGCAAGATGCTCCGTTGTTGCAAGTATTGCATCTGGTGGCTATACAACAATTCTCGCAAGTACTTTAGTGGTGGGAATACTTTTTTCTCACAGACGAAGCTAAACTGATGCATGCTAGAAAATTTACAGCGGTAGAATAGACTATCGTCTTAGCGTTGTACAAAGATTAAATACACACTCAGATTAAAGAAAAATAACTAATAGAGACACTAGAAGTTTTTACATGAAAAGCCCGGAAAGTGAAAAAATCATGAAGCTTGGTTCAGTTGAAGAAAATCTACTATAAACTGGTGGTTACAAGTAAAATCCCTTGTCCACATATGAGAAAAAGTTAATCTTTCAATTTACAACGGTGATACGTGAAGGATCTTGTCGCGAGGAATAGGGGGTGGCCGATGGTGATCGACGGCGACCGACGAGTGGTGGTTGATAGCGGTTTGCACCGATCGATGACTGAAGGAGTTAAGCTGGACTTTAGCTATTTCTCCAAACATCAAGCTCACTTTTCAGACTTCAAGCTCTTCTCCCCCTTTTTTAAGAAAGGGGTATGACTCTATTTATAGAGTTTCAATTGCAATTAAAGAAAGAATATGAACCACTCTGATCGGACGACCCGAAGAGATTCTCTCGATCAGATGGTGTTTGATGGACATTCGAGTGTCTTAATGATGTCAGAATTGAACGATCTTGGGCTTGTTGGATTTTTTTTATCGACACGCTTGATTCGACTATAAGCTCACTAAATTCGACATCTGCTTGGTCTTCTATACACTCCCCGAAAAGCTTCCCAAAGAGGTTTTGGTTTGATCGGGGCTCGATTTGGTTTGGATTGGACCAGTTTCGGTATTATTAGGTCCGTCTCGTTGAATCGGTCAGTTTAACTTTAAGTAAGTCGAAGCTTTAGATAACTTTTGATCAAAGTTTGAATATTTTTTACTAAAAATTTGCCCCAAAATCTGTGTCATACCTCGAGATTCGTTCTAAATGTTTAGAAATTTGTTGATGGGTGTATTAATAACAACAGTCAAACTTATGACATGATACCTTCTACTCTACTTGGAAATAAACTTCTACGCAATGATTCGGCTGGTAATATTTAAATTTCTTATGCTGGTTTGTGCAGCTTGAAATTATTTTTTCTAATGTCCTTCGATAGGCCATAACTTCACCAACTTCTCAAATTTGCACGATGAAACCCAAGGTTGGTACAATTAAAATCATTCTGTTTGCAATGTAAAAGGCTATGTTTTTGCAGAACTAATGGTAACAAAATTGCTAAAAGGCTAATAAAGTCGTTGACACAGAATAAATTATATTGCACAAAATTTAATATGTTATGATGAAGTTTTTTTTTTTAAATCTTTCTTCAACTGTTGGTAAATTCATATGCGTGATATATGTTAATTCTGAGGCGCTTAGTTGGTGTTCTCATTTGTTCCTTGTTCAGGGTTTTGCCATTCCACCTGAATCTCAGAAGAAAGTAGTAGATTTTACTTTCAAAGGGGAGCCAGCTCAGATAAAACACGGTGATGTTGTCATAGCAGCAATCACTAGTTGCACGAATACTTCAAATCCTAGTGTGATGCTTGGAGCTGCTTTGGTCGCAAAGAAAGCTTGTGAGCTGGGCCTTGAGGTTTAATTTTAGATTTTTCTATCTGATCTTCACGTTATTTCTTACTTATTTCACAGTAGGTTATCATTTTTATAAGTTTTTAAATTTAGCAACATAGAAAAACGATTTATTTGTGCAATAAAATATATTTTTTCCTTGGAATATTTTAAACGTGCTGACTATCACCAAATATGCCATACTTCTATTTCAAGACAAATTTCCTTTTTAATTTATACTGATATACAAATCTTTGCAAGAAATTGCAATAATTTTGCAATCAGTTTTTTTTTTTCTACACTTAAGTGAAGCCAAATGTTATTATCTATATCTTCTTCCAGCTTGCAATCTCTTTTATTAAACCAGTACATGTCTAGGAAAGGATATATTTTGACTTGGCCGCGTACTGCTGCATTTTTGCTTGATGTGTTATGAGCTCATTTAACCGAAAAATTATTACGTTCGGACTCCAGACGTAGAGATACATATGGAGTCCAATAAATCACTTCCACTTGGAGTTGACAAAAGAAAAAAAAAACTCGTTTTCTTATGATCCGGCCCGGTACACGGGAATATTTCTCCCGTGTTATTTCACGTTATTCAGGTGTTATTGTGGTGGTATTGATGTGTTATTATGTTATTATAACACCGAGAATATTCTCAGAACACAATAATACATAAATAATACCACAATAACGCATGAATAACACGGGGGAAATATTTTTCCTGTGCTAAAACGATTTTTCTGTCACCTCCATGTGGCGTGATTTTATTGGACTCCAGACGTATCTCTACGTTCGGAGTACGTCCGGAGTCGGGACGTAAAATTTTCCCCATTTAACTTTACAAAAAAGATAGGCCAGGTGGGATATCTCGTTTGTCAAGCAATGTGGGATTCTATGGACAGTTCTCTCTCTAAATTAGTTAGCAATTAATTTGGCTGGATACAATGAATTTCTGTTGCAACGAGAATAATACTTGTAGGTTTAAATCTTTCCTGTTTTGGGGTTCTTTTCCCCTCTACAATCGTCTCCTTTGAAATATGAGAGATCTCTCTCTCTCTGCCCCCCTACCCTCCTTCGACATCTCAGCTGGTGTTCCCTTTATTTTACTAGTGAATTCTTTCAATTCTCTATATCTAAATATTGATATAGCGTTCTTGTTGTTTTTTAGGTGAAACCATGGATTAAGACGAGCCTTGCTCCAGGTTCTGGAGTCGTTACCAAGTACTTGGAAAAGAGGTAAAAATGCACCTTTGCTTTGAAGGACTAATAAAAACTTACGTTAGAAGTGCCTAAATATATTTTCCCATATGCAGTGGCTTACAGAGATACTTGAATCAGCTTGGTTTCCACATTGTTGGATATGGTTGCACTACCTGTATAGGAAATTCTGGAGACATTGATGAAACAGTTGCTTCTGCTATTTCTCAGAATGGTAAGTTTTCTTTTTTGTTGATCAATTTTCCCAAGTTTCTTTTTCCAGTAAAAAATTCTTGCTTATATAATTTGAGGATGATTAATTTGCAGATATTGTTGCCGCTGCGGTCTTGTCTGGAAATAGGAATTTTGAGGGTCGTGTACATCCTCATACCAGGGCAAACTATCTTGCTTCCCCGCCACTTGTGGTAGCATATGCTCTTGCGGGCACGGTATGCATCCAATTTTTTTTAATCAGTTAACATGTATGTTAAGTATTTATTGAGTCATTCTCGGAATCATTTTTCCTGATATTTTTAGTCCATCCATATTTTATTTTTCTGAACGATTGTTAATATTCTGCTAGAAATGTGCAAGTATCTATTTTCTGAACGATTGTTAATATTCTGCTAGAAATGTTATCTGCAAAAAAGATTTTTTATCTCTCTTTAGTATTATAAATTATGTTTTTTAGGTAGTGTGGATCAACGGTAGAATAAAGTTAGGATTGATATACCAATGATCAAATTTATTTTTAACCCAAAATATTATACCTATGGGATATTTCTACACCAATAAATTTTTTAAACTGTGATTTGGGAATACACCCAATATTCTGACGTTCCTTGACAATCTCTCCCTTACATCAGAACTATCAATATCGATCATCAATCCCTCTCAAATGAAAATTTTTACACACACAATTATACACCAAGAGTTTATTCAATCATATGAAGTTATTGTGGGAGTCGTCTACTCGTGAGTTTTGCACAATCATAGTAGGAGTCAGGAGCCACGGGAGCCATAAACTGCATGAAATATCTGTTATTGCTGAAACATTGGTTGGGATACCTGCTGTTAGGGATTGATATTCAACAATAAAATTTATTTTTAACATAAAAGCTTAAGCTTATGTTCGAGGGTTAACTATGTGTTTTTAATACCAAAATGGTTGTAAGTTATCCTATATGGAACTAAACCCAAGACTCTTATATGCTTTAATAATGTTTTTACGGTTCATTTTTTTCTGCATGATCGTAGTCATAAAAGTTGGGACAATTACAAGTTCTCTTGTGGATTTTGATTTCATGGTTGAGTAGTCATTTTCCACAATTAATGTGCAGTTCGGTAGCTTTGAAATATGTGAACTTACTAACATTTACTGTTTTAAGTAATGTTTTTCAATTTGTTTTGTTAAGAAGATATTCAAGTTTTGGGTTTTATCCGGTCAATAATGCCAACATTTCTGTTTGATAGTGGAATTATTGAAACCGTTTATTCTTGAACAAGGAAGCCCGAGTCAAATCCCAACTTCCAACGTAGCTTTTTAATGTTAGGCTCTTTACTCATTTTGTTTGAAATATTATTTTGAGATGGGACATGGTGCTTCACTAGGTTGCAGATTAAAACTGGACTAGGGAAAAGTACTATAATGTTTGGATGCTGTTTCATTGCTCCCTTGAAGTTCTGTATGTGAACTGCAGCAAATTTCACTAGTTTTCACTACAAATTTGTGAATTACAATAGCTAACAAGTGTGACTCTGTTGTTTATAGTGAATAACTAATTTTTATTGTCTAGATTACTGGAAATATAGTCTAGATTATGCATAATTAACTACATAACGGCATTCAACTTCATTAAATTGCTTAAATTGTTGCATCATCCCCTCTAGTGTCCGGACCCCTCATTGGTTATTATTTCTAGGTGCAATCTTCAGTCCAAGTTATGGGTGATGTAATTTGGAACAATGATTGCTTTACTACCAGCTTTACCCTGATAATATTGATAAGCATAAAATAAATGCTGCAACCTATTTTGCCTACCCTTGACAAGGGAGCTGGGATTCTACATGTTACGCAATAGAAATGGCTTAAAAATCTTCCATTTAGGTCCATAGCGTCATTGACACAGAAGTTATCCCTGAGCTGAATTGTCAGTCTTCATGGATTTCCTTTCCATTAACAACATCAACTTTTCCATTAAATTCAATAATTTAATTAACTTTCTGTTTGAATTGTAAATTCTCAACTTTTTAATTTTTTCTGATAAATGTGCTTCAACTGGAAAAGCATGTGTTAAGATTTGATATAAGTTGACAGAAATAATCATGAAAGAATTTTATTTCAGGGGTTTTATATGACGCCGGCCCTTTTTGTTTTTGTCTTTTTCTGTTAGGATTGTATTGATTTTGCATATTGTTTACGTCTTTTATCGCAGGTTGACATTGATTTTGACAAAGAACCCATTGGGACTTCAAAGGACGGGAAAAAGGTTTACTTTAAAGATATCTGGCCAACGAATGAGGAGATTAACTCTGTAAGTTTTATTGTTCGGCTTCTGTTTGTTTTATCCTACTTGACCACTAGACATCACATTATTTGCTTATTAAACTTTTTGATCTAGGTTTTGCAATCCAGTGTCCTTCCAGAAATGTTCAAAGCTACATATGAATCGATTACCACAGAAAACCCCATGTGGAATCAACTGCAGGTGCCACTTACCAGTCTCTACACATGGGATGCTTCATCAACTTACATTCACGAGCCTCCATACTTCAAGAGCATGACAATGTCTCCTCCTGGTCCACATCCGGTGAAGGATGCTTACTGTCTGCTAAGCTTTGGTGATAGCATCACAACAGACCATATTTCTCCTGCTGGAAGCATTCATAAGGATAGCCCTGCTGCCAAATACTTGATGGAGCGTGGTGTAGAAAGGAAAGATTTCAATTCCTATGGGAGTCGCCGTGGAAATGATGAGGTGATGGCACGGGGAACATTTGCCAACATTCGCCTTGTCAATAAACTATTGAAAGGAGAAGTAGGACCCAAAACAATCCACATTCCTTCAGGGGAGGAACTCTCTGTTTTCGACGCTGCACTGGTAATTCTTCCGAATAAGTGACATAATTTCCTTTAATTGTTTAAAACTAATACTTCAATGTATAACTTCGCTATTGATGTTTCAGTTCAGCTCTCTGAACCTTAACCGGTTATTAATTTTTAATTTAACAGAAGTATAAAGTTGATGGTCATGACACAGTCATCTTAGCTGGCGCTGAGTATGGGAGTGGAAGCTCTCGTGATTGGGCCGCAAAGGGGCCGATGCTACTGGTATGAATTTTAGTTATTTATTAATGGATTATGCTATCGTGCATTAAAAGACTAGCTAGTAGCAATGACATAAAAAGAGATTATTTTTTTCGCAACAAAATACAACTAGGTGATCTAAGTTTAATTTATAGCCAAAATCATTTAATTTATATTGAATTAATTAACATCAATTGTACTTGAGATCTTGTTTATCCCTAATAGTGGAATCCACTTCCACATATGCAAGATAACTAAGAATCTTTTACTAAGAGTTTGCTTCTTTGTTAATCTAAGTTTATTTAAGTTGTTATAACCTAATAAAATTAATGCTTTAATTTAATTAAATAAACAAAAATGCTCATGGGGACAACCCAAAATGTTTTGGGCCATTTTATATGCAATCTCATAATTTTGGATCATTGATTCAAGATTCTATTTACGCAATTTGACAACCTCATTTTGCTGTATTTTTTTTAAACTATCCTCTCCATTGTGATCCAATTAGGCGTGCAAATTTCTCTAATTTTTTTTACCATTAGACTCTCCATTATTCCATCTGGCACTTTATTTTGCATGAGAATCATTCTCTTCTAAGTTTTATCAGACTTTAAAATTATTGAAGACATCAAATTTATTTTTCAAAATAAAATAAACTCATTACTTTTTGGTGAAGTAAATTAGCAAGGTCAAGCCTCAAAGGGATGCCATTAGGGTTTTTTAAATAATTTTAAATACGGTATATAATTTATTTTTTTTTTAATTTAACGTTCTTTACAAACTTTACAGGTTAATCGTTCTTAGCTTTCAAAATATATGACACCATAAAACTCATAGTTTGAAACCTTTACATTTGAATGTTTAAATGTTTATTCGTAAAATATCTATAGCTTTCTTGTTAATATGCATCAACCTTAGAAGCAGTGTGTTTGAATCAATAATTGAGTATATTGTTTCTTCAACCATTCTAGTTTTAGAAGTCATATATAATATTGTTTTTTTGTTATCACATGCATTATTTATAGGACCCTTCATTATCTTTGAGGGTCAACATCTACGATAAATATTAAATTTCTCTTTAATCGACTGAAATCTCGCTTTTTTTTGTGAAATTTTCATATAATCTCATCGTAGGTATTGTTTTGAATATTGTAATTTCTTATAATGCTTTAGGACTAATCATCAGCTAGACTTATCATAATTTAATGTTAGAATAATTAGGCATGATATTTTTACGTGAAGTGAAAGCATCATCAATGTTGATGATTAATGCATATCTAATCACTCGGGGCTTGATTTTTGTTGCTATTTATGCTTTTTGATTTGTTTTAAATACATGTTGTTTGGTGTGTTTTTACTTTTTTTTTTTCCTAAAAACTAATTAGTATGTTTTTAGAATACTAAAAACTACTTTTAGTTATTTTTAGTGGTTTCAACCATACCTTTAAATTAAATAGTAAAATATATTTTATTTCAAATCAGAATATAATTCAAAAATAAATAATAAAAAATAAAAAAACAAAAGTCATCCCAAATGGCCCTTTCACATTCAACAATTTTTTTTCTTTTGGTTCAAATTTTATCTATTTATGCTTTCTGTACATTTTTTTTTCATGCGCCTAATTTCCCATATTGTCATCATCCATTGTTTTGAATTTTAGGAGGAGTTTGTTGTATTATTTCCTTAAAGGTTCTGATGTCTCTATGGTATTCCTCCTTTTTTTAGTTCTTCCTCTAACCCTAATACTCAAAGCAAAGAAGATATTGTACCGAATTCTTTTCCACAGGGTTTCTCATGTAGATTAAATCTTAGAAATTATTGTAATTCAATTTTAAACACATAATAACCATTCGATCACTTAACACAATTTCACTATAGCTAGTAGTGATGACCACCGATTCAAGGCTCAAACTTCATCAGGGATTGGCAATCATGTTTAATTTATTAATATTTTGCAAAACTACCTTTCACCATCCTGACTCTAAAGATTTTGAGTAAAAATTTCTTGTCCTTAAGCAACCGCCATCCAATTTCCTGGAATACTTCCATGTCTCATTGATGCTGCTACTTGCTGCAGGGGGTCAAAGCCGTGATTGCGAAGAGCTTTGAGAGAATTCATCGCAGCAATCTTGTAGGAATGGGCATCATTCCCCTATGTTTCAAATCCGGCGAAGATACAGAGACCCTCGGATTAACCGGACACGAACGTTTCACCATTCACCTCCCAAGCAACGCAGCCGACATCAAACCCGGTCAGGATGTCTCTGTTACAACGGATAATGGCAAAACCTTTACGTGCACCGTCCGATTTGACACTGAGGTAATATAAGAATGGGGCATTCACAAACATACCGCTCAATGCCTATGTATTTTCATATCAAACACCAAAATATTACTTTTTACATTTATACAACCTAAATCTTTCATATCACAACACAAACATCACTATTTTGACTTTTAGAAAGTGAAACACATCATTTCATGCATACCCTGGCCTGTTGGTTGGCATCCACGGTATAAGACTCCTCAGGTCGGGGGTTTGAATTCCCTATGGCACAGTTGGCTTTAAGGAGGTGGTACTCGAATTGTTAGGCACATTAGGGGTGACTGGAGGCTCGTATAATAGCCTGCGGTCATTCCTTTAATATATATATGTATATATATCTAAATTGAAGTTTTAAGTGTAAGATATGTAAATACATAGGAATTGAGTGGTATGTATGTAAACCATCCTATAAGAAAATTTTCCTATAGTTCTAATATTTCTGCTAAGATTTGTTGATTGACTAATCATGAGGTTTATCATACTGTTAACAGGTTGAGTTAGCATATTATAACCATGGTGGAATCCTACCGTTCGTCATCAGAAACCTGATTACTGCTAATCTGTAGATTCATTGGCAAGTGTTAGTTTTCGTTTCTTCATAATTATTGTGCTCCCATACATGGCACCATGTTTTATTATTCATCTTGGGTTTTTTGATTTATGAGCCCAAGAAAATAAACCAAGTACAGGAAATTTTGACATTCAGCTTAGGGATGCCCTAATAAACCTAATGGTTCAGCCATTTTTGGAAACTTAACATGCTTGGCAATAATTACATATTAGCGTTATAACTTTTTCTTGTCATTTTTTTTTTTGGGAGGGGGTTTGTTGTCTAATTTGTAAGCTGTAAACTGGGCTCTTCCAGTTTTGAAAATAATGGGAGGAAATGCTTATGCATTTGAAATGCCATAAGCCTCTTGACTGTTTGTATATCGCTATTGCTCCATGTAATTGTAGAGCTGGATATCAAAATATTGATTTATGTTATGTACCAATCATGTTTAATACGTTTTAAAATATGCTTTCCAATAATATAGTAATAATACTAGTGCTTTTTTGATGTGATATAAACTTTGCTGTTATGTAAATATAAATAAATAAATAATTTTATGATACATATATGCCCTAAGAAAATGCTCATTTTACAAAAAACAATGGAGAACTAAAATTATTTTTAAGTTTTATTTTATTTTTCGAAGAAAAATAGGCCAGACGATTAGTTCCCAAATTGCATTATAATCTACCCATACATTATACATGTCTATTATTTTTATAAGCTAATATGCATTATGTGCTATAAGCAAAAAAAGAACCCTTACATAATATACTTATTTAAGATTTGATAGTTAAGCATAGAATGTTAAGATATGTAAATATATAAAAATTGTGTGATATGCAGGTGAAAGCCCCTAAAATGTTATTATATGATAGTTTAGTTTTATTTCTACAGTTTCTAATGATATAAAGAACCTTCAGTAATTATGCTATTAATAACATTTAAAAATAATAAACATACAAATCATCCTAATTTTATTTCATTTTAATTTATGTAATTTCTTATTTGGTTGATGATAATGAAAATTATGTATATAAAAATATGCCAAATTTATTATATAGTCAAGTTGATCCGAGCACATTTAATGAACCAATGAATTCTAGAGATTAAGGCTTTTGTAAAGAGGCTATTAAAGAAGTAGATTTAAATATTTCTAATAATAATTGCTTTAATTGAATTGTCCCTAAGTTCTAAATCTAATTTTTTAGAAACTTCATCATGAGATTTATTATTTTTCTTAATAAATTACAAAATAAATAAATAATTATCAATAAAAAAAGCCATTTGAACCGCCCACACACAATATTTTTAAAATCAACTTTACAAAAAGCTACCGTCACGATTGAGTGTCATATTTTCATTTAATTCTAATATATTAAGTTCACTTTTTATAAAATATGCCGAAATCTTTTTAGGTTTATTTTTGTCTTTCTTAACATAAGTCAAATCTAGAACATCTACTCTCCTAATCAGATCATCAGATGGTCGACAATTAATATAACCAAACCATCTAAGACGACCATTTTATTCTCCTCAACATAATTTATTTAAAAGAAAGGATAAAGAAGGAATAATATCAAAATAACAGAAATAACCTTTTCATATTATAACCATGCAAATATTCATATTTTCTGGCTACACAACCACAAAAAATTACCTGGAGTTAACCATGGCCCTGCATCTCAAGCATTTCATCAAGAACCTTCAGTCTCTGCAATCCTTCACTGATCAGGAATCGAATTTTCTGTTGGTCATCACAATGCCTGTTCTTCTCCATTTCAAGCCTAATTGTCAGCCTGAGATCATCTGGCAAAAAGCCTTTCCAGTTCAGTTTCGAAGTTATAGAAGCATTGAATCCATTCTCTTTAGCAAAAGATTAATTAAAATATTGGAAAGCTTACATACATACCATACAATTCTTATGTATTTACATATCTAATACCAAAAGTTTGATATTTATGATTATAACACTTTGTTGTCATAAACCTATGCTTGAAAAGATATGCTTTACTTCTAAAAAGTTAGTAGAAGTGGAATTTTTGACGTGATATTAAAAATTTGAGTGTTATGATGTGAATATGAAAGTATAGGTGTTTGATGTGTAAATACATTATAATTATGTGGTATGTATGTGAATGCCCCAAAAATATTTTAACAGTTAAAGTTTATGGTAACAAAAAATCATTCAGCATGTAGTAGCAATAAGCACCAACTTGTTTAGTAGGTAAGGCCTTGGTCAAGATCCTCAAACCAAATCTCACATATAACAATAAAAAAGTTAAGATGTATGAGGTAGCTAAATTTTAAATTTAGCTTAGATTGAACTAAATCATTCAAATATTATGATAAAAGGTACAAGATGTGTGAGAGAAATGAACAATATCTTCTAAAAGGATGGCATATGTATGATATTCTCCTCCTAAATTTTCCTTTTAATCTAATCTAAAGTTTTCTGTGTGGATTGAATTTCTTCAAAATTTGTGTTCATGTAACAATTCATCCAAGCACATGAGAACTACAAGGATGATTGAATGATGTATAGATGCACTTTCAAAGTCTAGTTTCACCAATATATTCATCAATTAGAATCTCGAGGCATTTATAATATTAAAATCTTCTTGAAAGAAAAAAATAATAATTCTCCTAAAAATAGAAAATTTCGCGTGTGCGTGTGTGTGTATTTGAAGGAATGGCCAGAGGCTATTATACGAGCCTCCAACCACCACTAATGTGCCTAAAAATTCGAGTACCACCTCCTTAAAACCAACGGTGTCAGAGGGGATTCGAACCCCCGACCTGAAGGGTCTTATACCGTGGATGCCAACCAACAAGCCGGCGTTTACATAAATTTCATAATAGATTTACCTGAAGGAGGCGAGACTCAATGATGGCAATGCGATGAATCAGACTTCCTTTAACCTGCATCTCTACAATGGCCTCCTCCATGTTCCTCCACCCTCTCTTCTTCTCCCAAACAGAGCTCTCAGATAAGCTGCCGCCGTCAGTCGCCGTCATCAACTCCTCCACGCCGCCGCTCGATCAACACGTGCTCTGACAATAAATGCCTTGAGATCCAATGCTTGAAACATAGTTCTTCAAACCTTATTTCTATTATTTCATGTCATGGTAGTCCTTCCCTGTGATGCATATCCAGAGTTATCACTATCTTGCTTTAAGAATCTTCTGAAAGAGAATGGGAAGAGATGAATTATTTTGAAGCTAAAAAAAAATTGTTTTCAAACTTAGAAGTTCTAAGAATTGGCCACTCAATCATTCTGAAGGAAGATTTTTGTAATAAAGGAAGAAAATAAAGTTAAGGATTGTTAAGTCCTATTTCAGTTTCCCTAACACTGAACTAGCAATAGAAGTAATTATAAAGTATCAACACTATCAGCGATAACTTTTCAGTAAAGCATCATTTGTAATGTATGCAGATGTCTTGTTGATTAATGAACAAAAGGAACATTTACATAAAGACCACACAATGCTTATGTATTCACATATATCTAATACCTATACTTTAAAAATTACATGCATAACACTCAAATCTTCAACAGCACATCAAAAATATCAAAATTATTAACTTCTAAAAGTTAAATTCATCTTTTCACGTATAGGATTATGATATCAAGGTGGTATGATTGCAAATATCAAACTTTTGGTGTTAGAGATGTAAATACATAAGAATTGTATGGTACGTATGTAAATTTCCCTAAACATAAATGAAATTGTATGAAAAAAAATGATATTCATGCACCCTTAGAACATGCTGAATATATGATTGCTTTCATAATTTCAACTGATAATGATTATTAAAACATTTCATTCAAAAGTAGATGAAGAGGCAAAAGTAGAACCTGGTTGATTAGCTTGCATGAATTTGAACAAGAGTACACCTACAATCTCAAACAATATCAAATAAAAACAGGTTTAAGTTCCATGTTGCTCAAGTGGGCCTATTTAATCCAAATGAGAATATCATGCGCGTTTTCTTGGGAGAATTTTGATTGATCCATCTAAACAAAATTAAGCCCAAAATCTGCATTTTTTTCTATTGATTTTTTTGAGTGAAGAATTACTCTTTGAACAATTAATTCGTCTATTTATTATGAAAAACTAGTCGATTTGTCTCACAATGCATAAAACAATCTTGCAAATATTAAAAAATGGTTAGGAATAAATGAAATGGGTGATTTAGTAAGTGTTGTCCTTAATGGTTTATAAGAATTACATCAAGTTACTATTAGGTGTTCAGGATGTCATTAGAAATCAGTAAACACACCCACCTATTTGGAGATTAGGACACCAAAATGTAGAAGAAAATGGAGCGAAAAAGAAATCAGGAATTTTGCGCCATCCTATAATTACACAACAATCCCTTCTCCCCATTTAAAACTAGGAGTTTTAGGGAAATTTTAAGTTGTGTCTAATTATTATTTAAAGCTAATATTTCTGTTTTCTGGGTAATTTTCTGGTTTTGTTCATATCAAATGGCGCTTCCATTTCTTCAGTAGCTTTCTATCAAACAATCAAAACTTCCGAGAAACATGAACAAAATGTTCTGATTGCTGAACCAGAAACATCTTTGCTTGTAGTTGAAAAAGTGTTTCAACATATTTATTTACTTGAAATATCTTTAATAGATAAAATAACGTTAAGTTGGGTATACAATGAGACATGCGTGTAAGAAAAAAAGAAAGTAAAAATAACCTTTGCAAGGTCCGGTTATGATCAGGATAATACCAAACAAAAGTTGGAAAGCCAATTCTTAGTGTTTGTAGAATTTGATTACTTGATCTTAAAGCTATATAGCAAGAAATAACTAAAATTATCAAATGCACCTACTCCATTTCAATGTTGATTTAGACTAAAAATAAAAATCAATGCTTTAAAATACGTGTCATACAAGATCATAGCGATAATTTATATCGGTCGTTTAAATTAAATTAGTAAATTGGATAATCACTTCTGAAGTTACACTAATTCATGAAAACCAACTCTACAAAAGAAGATTAAAGTGAATCAAAATATGAATAAGGAATACAAAAAATTGAATGAACAAATAAAATCAGGAAAAGAGAAGAATTTCACATGAATGGAGTATTGGCATATAAGGGTTGACTGTGGGTCCCCAATTATTCAGGATTAAGAAAAAAATATATACATGAAGCTCGTTATTCTGGTTATACAATCCAT